ATTTAGCCTCATTCATTTTAGAAGTAGAGATTGAACGCAAGAAGGGATATAAATTAATGTAGAAAGACAAGTTATCTCATATTAAAAATTAATTCAAGAGAAACTCTGACAGTTTCCACATAGCCAACTCTCTGGTTTAACTGGGTGTCTCAACTTCCTTTGTGGAGCACACCAAGGTAGGCTAACCTCCTTAGGTAGCAGGCACCTTTTCTTTTCTTAGGAGCATTAGTTGTTTTATTTTATTTTTCTCTGATTACTAAAAAGGTTGAACAATTTCCCATGATGTAGTTTATTTCTCCATCCATCTTTTTATCTGATTTCCTTTGGGTAAGAACATTTAACATGAGATATGCTCTTCTAACACAATTTCAAGTGTACAGCACGTTATTGTTGACTATTGCAACGTTGTACGGCAGATCTGGTTTCTTCTTGTTTAACTGAAATTTTTTACCTTTTGGTTGGTATCGCCCCATTTCTCCCTCTCCCTGCCTCCTAGCAACTACTGTTCTTCTTTTTGTATCTATGAGTTTGACTACTTTAGATTTCTCAGATTAGTGGACTTGTGACTGGCCTATTTGACTTAGCATTGTGTTTTGAGGATTCATTCATATTGTGGTAATATGGTAGTGCACTCCTTGTTAAGGCTGAACATATTACATTGTAAAGCCTATTTTTTTCTTATCCATTCATCCACTAATGGACCTCCATGCTGTTTCCATCTTGGCTATTGTGAATATGGCTGCAATGTCCCCCGACATCTCAGCAACTTCACATAGTGATCACGCGTCACTAGTATTTGTCACCTAGCGTGTTAATGCATTTGTTCCCCTTATTTTGTAATTTAATTAAATATTGCAGAATCCAATGAAATGAGAGTGTGAAAAAAAATATATTTTTCTTCTATGAAAAATACTTTGGAGGTATATGAAAACAAGTTGATTAGAATACATAAAATATTTTGAAAAAAGCATAAAATTCTAGAAGGTTTCAACATTCAGATTGCTTTACAGATAGCTTTTACTTTATTATCCACTAAAGAAAATAGACTAGATATCAAGGTAGCTTTATTAATTTTAAGAAATTAATAAAGAATCCCAAATAATGGATTCTTATTCAAACAAAAGGAAGAAATCCTATATGCAAATAGTCATCACACCATCACACTGTAACAGCTCAGACATTCAACACTGAGGAGAGAGGAATGGGGACCAGCCAGGTTGTGGCCTGGGAGAGGGACAAGCCACCCACCCTGGGTCCTGGGCGCCAGCAGCTGCGCCTGTGCCTATGGCCTGGGAGAGAGAGAATCTTCACACCCCATGGTCCCCAAGGTCCCAGGCACCAGCGGCTGCACCTGTGGTCTGGGAGAGGGACAAGCTGCCTGCCCTGCAGTCCTGGGTGCCAATAGCTATGCCTGCACCTGCAGTCCTGGAGAGGGACAAGCCACTGGCCCTGCAATCCCAGGTGCCAGGGCCTGCAGCTGCCACCCAGGTGAAGCTGGCCTGGGTCCTGGGTGCTTGTGACCAGCCAGACGGAGGGAAGCCTGGGTCCCAGGTGCCTGACTGGCCAGAGGAGGGAATCCTGGGTCCTTGGTGTGGGGAGAGGCAGAAGCAGTTAAGGGCATTCAGGTCAGCCAGCAGGGGAGCAGTTAGGGGTGACCTGGCAGGCAGGCAGAGGTGGTTATGCAGACAGGCAGGCAGTTGAGTGGTTAGGAGCCAGCAATCCCGGATTGGAGAGGGTGCAGGCTGGGCTAAGGGAGTCACCCATGCATGGATTTCATGCACTGGGCCTCTAGTTATATATATTTAAGTCAAATATACTAAGAAGTGTATTTTTGTGATTCTCTGTTTTAATTATATTATTTGCTTAACCAGTCAAGTAAAATGACAAATCCTAGAATTAATTTATTTGATGGGGGTTGGGGCAAAGATAATCTTTCCTTTACTAGATTGAAGCTGACTGGATTCTGTGTGTGTGTATCTAGATCCCAATGTCATTAAAAAGATAAACTGCTCACTTGAGGAGATATGCCTGCTATTTGGATCTTCAGTGTTTCCTGGAAATTCTCCAGTTCTTACTCTTTAAAATGAAGAAAATAATAACAACATGAATGGCAAGCAGGTTTCACCTTAAAAAGCAGCTCTGATTAATTGCCAGGGGCTACATTTGGCCACTGTGCCAAGATGAACCATGAGTGGAATTCCATGGCCCCATAGGATACTGCCTATCGGCATGGAATGAGGTAGAACAACATTGTGCCAGCATTGTTCTCCTGAGCTTTTCATCGCCCCATCCCCCTTATCCATGGTTTTGCTTTTCATGGTTTTAGTTACTCTCGGTCTGAAAATATAAAAAGGAAAATTCAAGAAGTAAAAAAAAAAAAAAAAGTGTTTAAAATCATGCTGTTTGTAATCCTGCCTTCCTGGTCTGTCCGTTTGCCCAACATCTCATTAGTCCTGTAGTAACTGTGCTGGTGATCAGTGTGACTGCCCTGCTATCAGATTGCTTGTCTTTTAAGTAACCCTCATTTTATTTGATGAATATTGCCATTCACATTACTTTAGTTTGTTATAATTGTTCTATTTTATTATTCGTTATTGTTGTTAATCTCTGACTGGGCCCAATTTGTAAATTAAACTTGATCGTAGGTATATATGTATAGGAAAGAACATAGCAGTCGACACTATCAACAGTTTTAGGCATCCACTGTGTGTGTGTGGCGGGGGGGGAGGTGTCATAGAACATATGACCCACAGATAAGGAGGGATTAGCATCCACATTTTCTTAGTGTTTTGCAATCTTATAAATAAAGTAGAAGGCTGGTGCATGAAATTTGTGCATGGGTAGGGTGTCTAGGCCTTACCAGTGATCAGGGCCTATCAGGTTCCCTGCCTCCCTGCCTCCTCCTTCCCTCGTGACATGCATGCAGCCACTGCACAGTTCCCTGCTTCCCTACTTCTTCCTTCCTGCAACACCCTTGCTGCCACCACGAGGTTCCCCTGCCTCTCCCCTCCCTGTCTTCTCCTTCCCTCACTCCCTCAGCACTCTACTGGTTGCCCTCCATGTTTCGTGCCACCCCCTGGTGGTCAGCACACATCATAGCAAGCAATTGAACTCCTGATCTCCTGGTCAAACTCATTAAGGGACACTTTGTATATTAGTCTTTTATATATATATATATATATATATATATATGGTTCGCAAAGGAAACTTGATGGGGTGGTGAACACACAATACAGTGTACAGGTGATGTAGAATTGTGCACCTGAAACCCATATAATTTTGTTAACTGGTGTCAATCCCAATAAATTCAATAAAAAGGAAAAAAAAATGAATGGTTCTCTGCCTTATATATATATATATATATATATATTTTATTATATTTTATTGATTTTAGAGAGGAAGGCAGAGGGAGAGATATAAACATCAATAATGAGAGAGAATCATTGATCACTGCCTCCCACATGCCCCTCCCCACCAGGGATCAAGCTAGAAACCTTGCTAAGACTGATTGGCCACTCATCTCCCAGTTCATAGGTCAATGCTCAACCCCCCAGCCACATAGGTGGTCTCCCTGCCTTACATTTTTCTTCTTTTCCCTCTGTTGGAGCACCCCCATTGGTGACATCTCTCAGCTCTAGTGAGTTACCACCAGGATGAGAAAGAGTGCGCACAATTCAGTCCTTTGGCTCACACAGGAGACACATTTGTGTAAGTTCACCACAAATGAGAACCACTTCATGCACATGAAAGTCACAGGATTTGCTTGCTCTCTGCTTCTCCAAAAACTGATAATTACAGTTAGCCTTCACTAAAGAAAAACAGCCCATAGAATGTGTCCCACAAATATTGTTCTCACAATTAAGATACTACAGAATATGAAGGCAAGAGAGCTATTTCGGGGTCGCTGTTTGATTCAGAGACTTGCAGCTAAAATGGCTCTGCTGTTGTCTTCACAATTCTTCATGTGGTTTTCAGTTTAAGAGGCCAGCCCAGCCTGCCCCGGTGAAAAATACAGTAATTTCTTTACTAATTTATTTACGAGTTTTATGGTTTTAAAAAATTGAAAATTTATGGTTTTAATAAATAGTACCTTGTAGTAATCTTTAACAAACGTAGAAACAAAATTCTGCCTTCATAGTGAAATCGTAGGTGGAACTCTTTCTTAGAAGAAAATATTAATAAATGTATTCTCAGAAGTAAAATATAATCATTGACTACTATCTTCTAAATGCTCTTTGTCACATGCACACATGAAAGATAGCAGGTGCTACACGGAAGTTAGATACAGAGGGTTGATGAGGGGGTTGTGTAGATCCACACTGGTGAGGGAAGGCTTTATTTCCTATGAATACCTAGAATATAATAGGCATCAGAAGTCTAAGAAATGGAACCTTATTCATGTCACAATTATTTATTCAATGCTTCTGCCCTTGGGAGGTTTGCAAACATGCAAGAGACACAGACTCATACATTGATAGAGAGAATATGTGAAAGGCCTTATTAATGTTATGCCCAGGCTTCTACTGAAATATATAATAAATCCCTGTCTTTTCACATTACAAGCTTGTTTTATTACAACATAAACAAAGTTAGCTTTCCTGTATGGGTAAGAACACTTGAAGTTGTTAAGAGCTTATGTTAAGTGTTAACTGAGCATTGTGACGTATCACATTTACAGTGGTAAAGTCCCATATTTGGGAACATGTAGTATGTGATTTCAGCCCCTTCCATGGGATAAGTCTTGGTTCAATTACAATCTAAAACCTGATACTCGATTCTCTTTTCTATGTTGAATCCTCTTAATGGCATCGTTTATTATCTACTGGAAATCAATTTAGGAAATCAAGTTAGTCCACTAAGCACTTCAGGTAAGGTGATTTCATGCAGCATTCCAAGATTATCACAGGAAATTGCTTTCGTATGCCATAAAGCAGAAAAGCCAGGAGCCGAGCTGGCTTGCCAAAGGAGCTTACAGCTCTATGGCCCCACCCACGGCCTCTCCTGAGTCACTCAGTTACAGTTAACTCAGGGTTATCACTCGCAGTTTCAAAGCCTGGCAGCTCTCACACAGCCTGGGCTTGTGAAGGCCTTGGATGTGTGTCTCTAAGTCAATGATGAGGGTATCAGAACCGATCCTGGACATGGATATGGCAAATTACAGTGAAGTTTTGGACCCAACGTATACAACCTTGGAGTTTGAAACCATGCAGATTCTGTATAATTCAAATGGTGAGTTCTCGTCTGCTTATAAATCCGTATTTATTAAGTAAGTCTAGTGGGAGAAGTCAGAGTGAGCTTCCCAGGGTGGCAGTCCCAGGCTTTCCTGCGGGATCCTTTGGGACTCTCATTTTAAAGCCACACATCTGAGCTTCTGGCCTTCATTACAAATTTTAAATTAACAATGCTCTCCCCGTTTTATGTTTGAGATAGAAAAAAAGCTTAGTTATGCTTAATAAAGTAACCTCAAAATTCTGTCATGGCCCAGTTAGGCAAAAAGGGTTTATTTTGTTTATTGTAAATCACAGTAATAAGTGACTTTGGCAGATTGGCTGTAAAGTATATTTTCTAGGCAACATTTAATGACGAGTGGGACAGACTTTCCATAGAGCACTGGGCAGTTTTCTGGTTGTCCCCTCCTTCATTATTCCAGTCCCCCTTGCTGCCAGGGAGAAACTGCATTGAAAACTACTACCAAGTGTTTGCAATGCACACAAATATGAAGGGAAATAAAGGTTTATATTATAACCCCACTTAGCAAGCTAATGGTTAGCCTCAAAAGATCTTGGTGTGCATCTACTGTAACATTTTAACTTTAAATAAGTCATGAGTTGTTTAGGGTTCAGATCTTTTTATAAAATAGTTCACCATTGACTTTAAATTTATTTTTTAAGTAAAAATATTGTCTAAGATCAGTTATAATCGATAGAACTCCTACAATCTAGTAATTATGTGTAGTTTGGAAAATGTGTGTATGTGTGAGTGTGTGTTTGTAGTTCAGAATTGAGAATTAAACATACTCAAATCATCTTTCTACTGAAATAAATAATACTCTGTTCAACATTTCTCCTCAAATCTAAACATAAGGAACCAAAACCGTGACTTTCTAAGATTTGCACTATCGGTTCATTTTAACTCTCTTTGTGCTAAAATTTCAGAATTCATCTTCTAACAATTTGTAATACTTGTTCCACCAATAATACAACATACATGAAAATTAAGATGATTTGAGTATAGTCTAAAGACTATAGATTGCTAATAGTAGGGATAGGCATACCATAAGTATTTACTAAAATAATTGATTTTTCAAAATGTTTTTAGTCCTAATTTCTTCTAATAATATGGTTAATACCATATGAGTAAAACATTAAACTTAAAGCAGTTGAATTTTTTCATATTTTCATGTAATCATAGGATAATGTCAATTCTAAAACACTTCTAGCTGCCTTTTTCTAGTATCTATTTTATTTATGTTACCAAAAGAGAAATTCCTATATTTGAGTACTATAAGTCACATGGTTAACCTTAAGCATATTCTTATTATTTTTTCCACTTGATGAAACTATACATGACTAGGGGCCAGGTGCATGAAACTGTGCATGGGTAGGGTCCCTAGGCCTGGCTGGTGATCAGGATCAATCAGATTCCCTGCATCCCCACCTCTCCACCTCCCCATGTCCGCCCTCACTCACCTCCAGCTCCCCGCTCCAGCCAGGGGGCCCAACCAGGGAGAAGGATTAGGAGGTTGGCAAGCAGGCCCTGCAGGCTGGGGGTAGCTCCTGCATTGAGCATCTGCCTTCTGGTGGTCGGTGGGCATCATAACGACTGGTTGTTTCTAAGGGTTAGATGCAGAAGGCTGGTATGATGTGGCTTTCTTATACCAGGAGCACTGTGGGGCTTTGGAGTAATGAACAGTAGGGAGCAAGGATGAAAGGAGAGAACTTGTCAGGAGGCTATTGCAATGACCCTGGCAGCGGGGGTCAGGTGGGGGGGAGGGAGGAGGGGTGGGATATGGTGAATTGGATAAGGCTGGCTGTTGTAAAAAGGAGAAAAGCTATGGGTTCTCTATGTATTTTAAAAACGGACTTTACTTTTGGATCGGGTATGAGTGATGAGAGAATTCATTGAAGACTAGTAGGTTATTGGCCTTGTGTTCTGGATGGTACTATATACTTATATGGAAGACTGAAGGAAGAACATGTTCTAGAAGGAAAATCGAGCGGTTCTGTCTTTATACATTAATTTATAATTCCTCTTAAATTGCAAAGTGACATTGTTAAATAGTTATTTGGGCATTTCAGACCGATGCCTGTGGGAGACATAAGGGTTGCAGTGTGGTTGGGGGACTGAGCCCTGTAGTATTCCAGCATTTAATAGTCAGAGGGGAGAATGGATGAAGACTGGCAGAAGCAGCCAGTGGTTCAGGGGAAGCAGTACGTGGGGCCTCCAAGAAACCAAGGAGTGGGCTGTTTCAAGCCTCTGAATGTTGGGTTGGGTGATGTCACTAGAAAGACTCAGTACTGACTCAAACTCTACCCCACCCCCTTTTTCTGAACAGAGAGTTCTGCCCCAGAGACGACAAGTATGAATACCGCAGACAACGGGGTCAACTGTCTGTGTGCCATCTGTGGGGACAGGGCCACCGGGAAGCACTACGGAGCGTCCAGCTGTGATGGGTGCAAGGGCTTCTTCAGACGCAGCATTCGCAAGAGCCACGTGTATTCCTGCAGGTACCGGAAGCGCTGCTTTTGGGAAAGGCATCTGTAGAGGTGTTTCAAAAGGCATGCAAGAAAAGGACACAATTCAGAGCTTTTCCATTTCTGTAACCCTGAGAGCACACTCTGTAAGCCGCTTTAAGAGTGTGTAAGCAGGACGCATATTTGCCAAGGTGGTTCTCTTTTATAAACCATCCAGTTATACAAAATATATTAAAAAATGCCACATACTTAGCACTCAACGTAGACCAATATGGTTGGAGCCCAGTGTACACCTCCCGGAAGGCTTTCTCTTCCTCCCCTCTCTCCCAGAGGGGACTGTTGTCGGAAGTTTCTCCTTTCCTGGCATTTCTTTATCGTTTTACCGCACGTTCATACACCAATGGGCATAGTTAAATTTGCATTTCAGTAGTTTCACAATGTACATCCTTTTTGAAGTACTGGTATTCTTTTCTCCATCATTATATCTTGAGTCTTTTCAAACCAAATTATAAAAATACAGATGATTTTGGTAGCTTTTTAAAAAAGCTTTTTAAAGTTAATGGATGAATTTGTATTTTCAGTTCTAAAATTTTAAATTTACTTCTCATGCCACAGTTTTGCCATTGAATTTAACATTTTATATAAAACTATATTGTATGTGTCCCACATTTCCAATAGGCTGGCTTTTCTGTTTTAATATCAAGTCAATGTCCTAGCACAATTGAGGGTTGGCTATGTCACAATGAGTGTTCAGAATGACAGTTCTTGAGTGAAGATTGTGCCTGGGAAGAAGTTAATTCTTTTCCAGCATTATGCCATTTGATTTCTAAAGTTGTAGAAAAGTTAATATAAAACTCTCCAAATATTTAACTAGTATTTTCTAGTAATTTTTACAGGAAACCTTAGTAGGAAAAAAATGTAAATCATTCACTTTAACAACTTTTTGGTAAACAAAAAGATAATATGTACATAGATCTTACTTTTATAAACAGCAAAACTCCAAAGATAAAAGGTAGACCAAGTAGATTTCCAAAAACATCAACAAAAATAAATACAACATAACAGGTAAACAGTACTTTTTTGAGTCATGTGTTCTGTTAAAGGTGAAATCAATAGACATGAAAAATAACAATCCAAACAATAAAATCCATCAAAAACTTTTAAGAATCATAATCTATCAGAATATTAAAGGGCTTTCAAGATTTTAATGCTTCCTCTGAGAAAAGTAGGAAAGGAGTGTTACCATAGCAACTTTTGGAAATTCAGAAAAGATTCCACCAACATGTAGAGTTGGCTCACACTTTCCCATCATGAGTATTGCTATCACCTTGGCCTTCTTTACATATTTTGCTCTTAGGCAAATGATACAATTCTCCTTTGGAAAATTATTATGTTGATGCAAGTTTAGGATCATAAAGGTTTTTTTAAAACACATTTTGCTGGTTTTAAATTTATTCATTCTCTTAGATTTACTGATTTCATTTCCACTCTAACTCTTCCATCACACTGAAGTTGGACTTGCCCTTTCAAGCACTTTAAATTACTGTCTCAAGACTTCTCCCATTAGGTTCTTTATTATGGTTGTCTGTAAACTTGTATGTGTACGCTACTAGATCATAGTTTCCTTGATGGAAGAGATAGATAATATTTCTCTGTTTAATCCCTACACCAGGATCTTATACACAATAGGTGCTTAATGCATATGTATTCCATTTTGCATTAGTTTAATGTTAATTGAATGTGTTCTCCCGCTGTGGTATTCTGGCCCTCTCTCCTGAGTCTCCTTAGCCATGTATTCTCAAATGAACAATGATTTTTTTCCTCATCCAGAAAGTTTGTCTCTCTTCCAGCTCAGGTCATCTATAGTAGGCTTCATACTAAGTTCATATTTAGTAGCCATGCATATTTTTATAAGAAATATTTTATATATATCACAAAATATGTTATTTTATTCTCATCATTACCAATCAACCACAAGTAATCAGGGATATACGTATGGATACTAAGAAGCCAGAATTTTAAAGAAATGTTATTGCTTACTATATGTTTAATATTTGTCCCAAAGTCTCTAAAGTACATTCATATAACAACCTTTTACAGCAAGCCTTTACTATCTTACAATTGTAAATTAACTTGGAGGGGGGATATTCAATTACATTGGCAAATCCTATCAAGAATGGTGGACATGGGAATCAAGCTTCTAATTCCAGAAATGGTAATCCCCTTTTTTTTAAGTGTACAATTCAGTCCACAGAGTTGCAGCCATCACTACAATTGAGTTAGAACATTTTCACTATCCTATAAGGAAACCTCTTACCCTTTAGCAGTCACTACTCTTTCCCACCAACTTCCTCCCACCAACTTGAGGCACACACTAGTCTACTTTCTGTGTCTACACATTTGCCTCTTCTGGACATTTGATGTAAGTGAAACGATATACTATGTGGCTTTTTGTGTCTGACTTCTTTGACTTAAAATAGTGTTTTCGAGGGTCAGCCAAGTCCTACCACGTATTGGAACTCCATTCCTGTTCATTGTTATTTATAATATCCATTGTGTGGGGAACCACATTTTAGATAGCTACTCAACTGATGAGCATTAGGGTTGTCCCCACCTGTTAGCTATTAGGATAATGCTGATATGGACACTTGTGTACAAGTTTGTGTGTGAACACATGGCTTCTTTCTTTTGGATTGATGCCTAGGAGTGGAATTGCTGGATCATATGATAGCTCTAAGTTTAACATTTTATAAAACTGCCAAACTTTCTTCCTTAGCAGCTGCAGCATTTCATATTATGATCAGTGATGTGGGAAAGTTCCGATTTTTATGCGTCCTCATCAATACTGGTATTGTCTGTTGTATTTTTTTTTTCCTGATTAGAGCCATTTTTGTGGATGTGAGGTGACATCTAATTGTGCAGAGACTACTCAATGCTGTTCTTAATATGTAATTGGTCATCTACTTAGAGTAAACTTTAATTGGATGTGAAACACATTTAAAATGAGTTGAAGAATATTTACAGTGAGAAAAGCATGAAAGTGCAGAGGAATGGAGTTCTGATATAGTCCCCATCACACCGAAAACTCTGAGCAACAGGCAATTGAGATTTATATGTCAAAGATGTTTAAACTAGGTTTGGCTTTCATGACTCATGATAGAAATGACCATGCACACTGTCATTCAATTTTATTTTATTCTAAAGCCTACATGGGAGGTGAGGCTCGCATTCCCATGTATGTGCTAATCATGGTTTTATATTAGAAATGATAGCAGGAAGAAAGCTACAAATTTTCACAATCTGGAAAAGTCAGTTTATTGTTGTGTTTTTTTAAATCATGTATGAGCGTTCAGTTAATTGCTCTTATACATTCTTTCTATTGGGCCAAATTTGGGCATACTTATTTAAAGTCTATTTGTCTGTTTCTTTGTAAAAAATTATCTGAAAAATTAATACATCTTTTTTTTAAATATTATAGGTTCAGTCGGCAATGTGTTGTTGACAAGGACAAAAGAAACCAATGCAGATATTGTCGGTTAAGAAAGTGTTTTAGAGCAGGAATGAAGAAAGAAGGTAATATATAACATACTAATGATATTTAGCATTATTGATGAAGAGTCTTATATACACATTCTCAATTCATCATAATAACATTTTCACATGAGTTCTGATTTTTCTTAATGAAGAGTCTGTGGTTCCTTGAGTTTAAGAATTTACCCAAGGACACTGACACCCAGTTTCTATCTGATGACTGAATCCAGATGCCATTTTCTTACTGCTGTGTTACACCTGTCAACAAAACTGTTGTCTAAATAACATTCCAAAATCCTGTTTAAAAAATAGATGGCCAATATCTATTAATCAATTGAAATTATAACTGTATTGTTAAGCACACTTTTACTGTCAATAAGATTGAATACCTTTATTTCGTAAACATGAACTGAACAAGGACTGTGCATGCATTCATGTATTTATTTAACAAATGTTTATTGAGCTCTGTTCCTTTCCCCGGGTGCCCAGGTCTCAGTAGTTAATACAATAGAATATTTCTCTTCCTCATGGAGCTTATCATCTATTGGATACTTTATTTTAGTGTGAACAATTCTGTTTTGAACATATTAAATAATCTGGTTTTATCATCCTACATCCTAACTAAGGCTAATTTAGAAAGGTGCTGAATACATTTAAACGTTTGGCAGGGAACAGTCACTATAAGATTTATGCACATCAGTTTTTTCCACACTCCTGTGTCAGTCATATACACGGAGATAGTTTTCAGAACTATTTCACAAGCTATTAAGAAATTAATGGAATCAAATCACTATTCTTTAGAAATGTCACTTTGTATCAAACCTATCTTGAACATAGCTAGTTTTTTTCTTTCGACACTCAATATTTTAAAGAGACCAAAGTTCCAATAGCTTTGTTCACGTTGTCAGTATCAAACAAGAAGGCAAATGCGAGCCCCCAGAGTTAAAGAAGAGGCACTTTCCTATTTAAAAATGTCTTATGCCTGCCCTGGCCCGTGTGGCTAAGTTGGTTGGGCGTCGTCCCCTGCACCAACAGGTTATTGGTTCTATTCCAGGTAAGGCACATGCCCAGATTGCAGGCTCGGTCCCTGGTAGGGGGTGTGTAGGACGCATCAATCCACTTCTATGTTTCTCTCTTCTCCTTTTCCTCCTCTCTAAAAATCAATAAACTATTTTAAAAAACAGTTTATATCTAGCGACATATCAAATAGTTTATGGGTTGATTCCATACTTTGCCCATCATTTTCATTCATCTCCACTTGCAGATCATCATCCTTTATTTCCTTTAAGAGTTTTACTCTTTTTTTACATGAATTATTTTCAAAAATAGTGAAATTGTATCATCTAGTCACAGAATAACACACTAGTATTTTCTAAATAGATTAGAAGTAACTTTTGATTTTAGCATGGTCCCTTATTTACAATGATAGCATGATATCCAGTTTAAGGTGGAAATGTCTATAAACATGGTTTTCTGTTGAAAACTTTAGCAGTAGAAAGGCTACAAATGTCCATGATATATTTTAGCATTTTTCTAAAGATTGATTATGTAAGTTCAATTCATAAAGCATAACTTACATTTTTATTTTTATCTCCATAAATGTATTTCATTAGTTTAGGCTGAAAGTCAATGACAATTTCTGCAAAAGAAAGGAAGGGAGGATAAGCTACCAGTAAATAAGATTTTAAAATAAAATATTATTGATTTATTCCAACTTAAAATCTACTCACTCTTAAAGGCAAAACATTCAGTATTTTCTCTTACAAATTAATGAGTTAATAGTTACCGGTATGTTTTGGATAGATAGTAATAGAAATTCATGAATTTTTATAATACAAAATTGTTTATTATAACTTTAGAAAGAGAGGAAGGGAGAGAGATAAAGAGATAGAAACATCAATGAGAGAGAAACATGGGGATTGAGCCCTCAACCCGGGAATGCTCAGACCACGAATTGAACTGGTGACCTCTTGGGTCTTGAGTGGACACTTAACCCCTGAGACACATTGGCTGGGCAGAAATTAGTGAGTTTTTTAAATAAAAAAAAATAACTTCATTAAAAACTATGATAGTTCACTGCTTTATCCTTCCAGAGCATTAACTTAAACAATTTAGGGGCTACAGGACTTGTTTCCATTCTTTTTGGTTAAAAGAGATCATTTTACCTCCTAAGTTTTGAAATCCAACTTTAACATGTGACCTGTGTTATTCTTTATGTGACAAATACACAAGTCAGCCCCCCTCTTATTCATCCTTATTTGTTTGAGGAAATTTTATTGAGAGTTTTAGTTTTCAGTAAGAAATTTGGGGACACACATTTTTCTTTCTTCCTCCACTGAAAAAAGGTCTGTCTATAATAGGGAGATTTCTTCACCTTATCCAAAGCTGCATTTCCAACCTCAGCCTTCTCAGGAAAGACGTCCTACCTGCTGTGCCTTTGGTTTGATTCCTGTTTGTAAACTTTTCCAAGAACTTTGTTTCCTAAGAGATCATAAGATTGGTAATCTTACAATTACCATAACTAAACTAAAATTTCTTTCCAGTTTTGCTCATGGCTTAGAAGAATAAGAAAATGGAGGTTTCAACTTGGCTCATATCTTTGATAGTGAATACACTCTTATCTTTGACCTGGTCAAACTCATGGGCGATACTCTTCCTTCAGTTACCTCACGGGTTTTATTAACTCAAACAGTTTGAAAAACCATCTTATTACAACACAGCATGCCTGAACTGGCTGACCCCACACTTTCTGACATGCATGCCATCATGCAATCCCAACAGGCAAAAAAAAAAAAAAAAAAAAAAAAAAAAAAAAAATATATATATATATATATATATATATATATATATATATATATATATATATATATATATATATATTTAGCTCAAGTGACAAGCCTGGCTCTGTCTGTCTTTAAAAGTGACACCGAGTGAGAAGTGTCTTCAGTCACACTTCTCTACATCTGGGTCTTTCATAAGCATCCCTTCCCACTTTCCGTACCTTATTTTGTGACACGTAGTGAACCGAAGTGACCAATAGACACTGTGGTTTTTCTCCCTCAGCTGTGCAGAATGAACGCGATCGAATCAGCACCCGGAGAAGCACTTTCGACGGCACCAACATCCCCTCCATTAACACGCTGGCCCAGGCGGAGATGCGGTCTCGCCAGGTACCCACAGTGCACCAGCACCGCACCCGCGTCTAGAATCACATGCACCAGCATTTAGGTGTAGTGATGAAATAATCTCACTTTTTTCAAATGTGCTCATTACTAACCTAAATCACATTCATGCAAATTCAAGAGTTTTACTTTGAAAATGTTGGTCGGGCTGTTGACTGCACGGTGATGTTTTCTGGACCAGTTCCTATTTATGAATGGGACGATGAAATGTATTTCAGCGGAAGGTTGTAAAATAACACATTTGTTTACAAAGTACATTTGAAATACTGAATGTGTGGCACAGGGCTCTGGGGGGAGTATCTCGGTTTGTTGGTTGAATGCGTAAAATCAGTTACCACAGCTTTTGGGGAGTTTCGTTGGGACAGATCATCAGAGCTTCCTTCCTTACAACAGTTTCTAGACTCAAGAACTCACCTTGGCACCTGCTTCGGAAAAAGTGTTTAAGGGAAGAGCCAGATTTTGAAAAGTGCAAGGGAAAGGTGAAGTTTCTAGAGTGAGAACATCAGTTCTAAAGTTTGACATAGGACATTTGTTATCTACATAAGTAGCAGTGGCTTAAGAATCAAATGGGGTGAGGGCATGAGTGGGGGGATTTGGGGGTTCGGGGGCAATAAGGACACCTATGTAATACCTTAATCAATAAAGAACACAATTTTAAAAAGAATCAAATAAACCCTTTCAGTGAGTTTATTTTAGCATTGCTCCTATTAGAAACGTTAGTGATATTTTTTTCTATCATAAAGCAAATTATGAAATAGCTAACTATTAATCCAGCTCCATAATGAGTCAGTGTAACTACTTTCGTTTTTGATAACACAAGGGTAATATGAAGCGGTTAACCTCACCATTATCATCATCATTGCCTTCAGATTACCTGATGGTCATTAGAGAATGGCTTAGGGGGAGGTGTGAGGAAGGACACACATTACAGAAAGACACGCATACACACATTCAGAAAGTGCAAAAAAGTTCATAAGATCTTTCAGAAAGTCATTTCTTCAGCAGAAGGGCATGTTGACCCACTTATATTTTTATAGAGTTCAAAATTATATATAGTTGTAAAAATGATCATTAGGTTAAGCTTGTTGATGTTACTAAGTTAAAGGTTAGTTTCTTGATTTTATTTCTATGGGTTTCTATTTAGTGCAGAACATAAATCTTCTTATTAAACTTTATCCACTGTAAATATTTTCAACAAATTGGATTTTTCTTAATGGGAATATCACTTTTTAATGAAAAAGGAAATCACAGAGCATATTTCATGTAAATAATATTTTAGATTATGGCACTTCCCAAAAGTTGGGTAACTTTTTCTACAAGTGTTCATTAAAATCAGATAGTGCTCCCACAATATGTGTTATGCAGGGAATGTTTTCAATTAAACTTGTACTGAAAGGTATTTCAGTTCTCAGTTTAAAAATTTAGCATCTTTCAAGATACTGCGACAATGATGGTGCCACTTCAATGACATTCACTTACTGGAATCATTGATTATGTCTTGTTTTAAATGAGAAGTTCACATAATGTCTTTGTTCATGCTAGATGTCAGCCTCAAGCCCTGGTGTGAGCACAGACATAAATGTGAAGAAAATTGCAAACATTGGTGATGTCTGTGAGTCTATGAAACAGCAGCTCTTGGTCTTGGTTGAATGGGCAAAATACATCCCTGCCTTCTGCGAGTTACCGCTGGATGATCAGGTAGAAGTTAAAGAAATTCTGAATGCTTAAAAAAACAAAAACAAAAACCCACAACTGTTTTTTGAACTTTGCCCAGTTTTTTTATGTTCTTTTAATTATGTTTATAATAGATTTACCATATATAACAAAGGTGAAATTATCTCCTGAGAAAAAGATTGGTTTTCTTATCCATTCACCTCCTTGTTCTGTCAGAGGCTCAGCTGTTTAACTCCTATTTTAGATCTTACATATTTATTGATTTGATAAAGTTGAGAAAGACAGTTATCCCTTCTTGGAGTGTAAAGAGCTTAAGTGAGCTCAGCTGGTGTGGCTCAGTGGTTGAAAGTCAAACCAAGAACCAAGAGGTCCCTGGTTTGCTTCCCGGTCAGCGTGCCCGGATTGCTGACTTGATCCCCAGTAGAGGGCATGCAAGAGGTAGCCAATGGATGTTTCTCTTGAATTGATGTGTCTATACTTCTATCTCTCCCTTTTCTCTCTCTAGAAAAATTTAAAAAATCAATTAACATATATATTTTTTAAAAAAAAACTTGAGACAGATAACAAATAACTGCCACTGTGAGACAAAGGATTGCAAAGCAATTGCCTGGGAGATAAATGTGTCTGGGTACTTACTGAAGGAACCTGTGAAATTTCTCAGAAATTCCAGGCCACTCCTAGAGGAAACCAAACAGGTGTATTGGTGTCTTTGTGGGCACATTGTACAATTAACATATACAATTTTGCTTTGTATATTGACAATTTTATTCTAGCATTACTGTATAAAATTATACATCTAGCAAAAAAAATCTGTAGAATCATGTTCTGAAATCTACAGAGAAATCGAGAAAATTCAGATATAATGATTTTTCCTAATACATATATTGTCATGCTTTGTCACACGTACATTAAGGTATTTTAATCATTAGCTAAAAGCTTTAGTTGCTTAATTAGTCTATGAAGATTAGATTATTAGCTTCAGATTCATTTTGAACTCTTCCATCTAAGCAGTAGCTAATATCATGTAGATGCAAATAATTTGAAAACTTCCAATTTCTGCACATTGAATTAACCAGGATATGTAGTTTATCCCATGTATGTCTTACATTCTCTGACCAGTGTTCTTTATTATGGACACACAAAAACAAAAACAATAAAAGGGAAAGGTGCAATTGTTTAAATTCAAAGGACAAAATATTTATACAACCAGAAAAAAAAGTAATCACAGGAAGTTTAATTACATTTCTAGGAGAACATTCCACTTTGGGAACAACAACAAAAAAAAATCTTGTAAAATCTGAAATCATTCTCAAAATGTTCTATACCTGCCTTCCTGTTATGAGTCATGGTTATTGACATACCATAAAGATAGCCTGGCTGGAAAGGTGGTTTCACAATGAATAATGCTAAATTGCTAAAACCTCCTTGTCTCACCCCAAGCCATATAAGTAGGGTTATGTTATTTATCAGTTTTATATGTTCACTATCACTCCTCTTTAAAAGTTGCTGACTTATATATGAAGATAGTGATTTAAAAACTTGGAAATTGAATTCCAGTAACCTGTCAAAAAACAGTTTTTCTTTACGAGCTCAGACTTTAATATTAACAATATAGCATTAATAGCCATGGCTTGCCAATGTCTATTGTGGATTATACACTGGGGGATTAGCTTTCAGTAGCATTATATATTATATTATTTTACTTAATGCTCTCAGGAGCTCTGTGTCTTAAGTTTTATAATCTCCACTTAATAGTTTTCAAAACTGAACTCTCATCAGTTTACTCAGTAAATTCACCCAAAAACTTGTATTAGGATTAGTGTTCTAGTATTCATTTTTAGGAACTGTGAGCATTCAGATTGCATCATTTTTTCTCATAAAGTTTACCTTCTATTTGGGAGAGACAGATAATAAAATATGTATCGATTATGAGTAAGTTCACTCTAGGTGGGATAAATCCTATAAAATGAGATGAATTGTTGGATAATGACTGGGGGTCAAGTGGTAACAGATACTTTAAATTGTGGATCAGAGAAGATTTTTCCTGAAACCCAGGGGACAAGAAGCCAGTCATATCAAGGTCAAGGAGAAAGATAGCATTCTGGGTACAGAAAGAGTATGTTTGAAGACCCTGAGGCAAGCAGAGATGTTGCAAGATGCTTGGGGGACAAAGCATTGAGCTATAACCTGTACGGCTTTGGTCAAGCAGTTTGGATGTTATTCTAAGGAAAATAAGAAACCAGTGAGGAGTTTTCAGCAGAGGAGTGATATTAAGTGATTATTATTTTACAAATCTCATCTTGGTAGCTCTGTCAAGAAGGACGTAGGATGGAGGAACCAGGAAGAAGGAACTTAGGATGGAGGAACAGGAAGGAAGAGGGAATGCCTGTTAGGTTCTTGGAGTGTATTGTGAAGGCCAGGGCAAGAAAGGCGAAGGCTTTGGTCTGGGTGGTGTAGGATTTGCTGGGCCATTAGAGAAGAATCAAACTGAAGTCTTGTTTTTGTCATGAACAAGCAAGTTGGACAAGGATGAAGATGCTGGAGAAGCATTACTTTGCAGTGTTAAATGAGAAACACTTCCTGTTATCTCTAATGGTAATATTCAGTAGGCAATGAAGGATATGCATGAAACTCAGTTGAGAACTTAGTGCAAGGAATTATGGGTTCAGTCTTGAGTGTGTTAGCATTCCGATGCACCATGTCACAGGCCCTCACTTCGCTCTTGTCTATTCAGTTTATTATGTGTAAGATTGTGTTTTACATGTATTTTTTCAATGTAGTCCTCATGCCTAGAATTTGAAATTTTATTCACTATCTCTACTGGGTAGACAAAAACAAATGAGTCCCAAACATAAATGGTTGGTTTACCCAAGATCGAACAGGTAGTAAATGGCCAAGCCAAAATTTGAACACTAATTGGTTTGATTTTACTTCATTCCAGAACACTTAGTTATTTTGTTGAGTTTTTTTGTTTGTGTGTTTGCTGACATTGACTCATTAATTTTAGAAATTTTGAAAAGTTAACCTCTATGATATTCTCAAATAGAAAAATAGAAGGCTTACTGATGGCAACTATCTATGAATATTATAGTTTGTTAAATAAATAAATAAATAAAAGTCTCAGGTTTAAAGAGCATGAAGTTAGTCCCAGGCTCATCTGATACCATCTGTTAATCATCATATTTTATCATTAATTGTTCAATTTGGAATTTTTCATTAAGGTGGCCCTGCTGAGAGCTCATGCTGGGGAGCATTTACTGCTCGGAGCTACAAAGAGGTCCATGATATATAAAGATATTTTGCTTTTGGGTAAGTGTTTTTTGTTGTTGTTGTTTTTCGTTTTTGTTTTTTATTTAAGAAAAAGTTCTGCATGCTTCCTTCTTACACAGGATCTGTTCTGTGTGTCCCGAGCATTCTGAGACACTGACAGATGGTGTTCTCCTTTCACAGACTCTGTTTCATTGGTCAGACCCTCACTTGTGTCCTGTTTTTCCTTGCTTTGATGGCAGGGAAGTTCAGAGTGTATTCAGGGTCTATTAAGATTAAGTTGCTTAGTGAACAGACTCTTGAGTCTATTTAAATCATCAGGACAAAGAATTAATGACTTGTGTGACCATCATAGCGAGTCTCAGTGTTTCGCATTCCTCTGTAATTGTCTACTTAGTCACTGTAATATGTCTAATTATAATATATGCTGTTGGGTACATTTTTAATGAGTATATGTATCTCCTATGATATCATTGCCCATGATATGTGCAAAATCCCAAGTTAAAAATAATTTGGTGACAGTGTCTGAAAATTTCTGATGATCCAATAATAGTGCCAGAAGAAGCAGAAGTAGGGAGGCAGGTGGAAGGGAAGGTGGGTGGAGAAGATATGATACAAAGGAAAAGCTTTTGTCCTCATCAAATCTCCAATTTCTCACCCTACTTAACTTCCTTATGAGATTTCCTATAGAAAGAGTTAAGATCTCTCTCATGCTTATTAGCTTTAACTTTTCCTGGCTTGTATGAAATGATAACGAAATTGTTTATTCTATTTATGTGATGGATATTTTGTTCCCAAACATGGATAAATTGAATGTAATATAATAATATCTAATATTTATCAAGCACTCATTATGTCATATGCATTGCTCTAAGTGCTTTTTGATATGTAGATCAGCACTATCTCATTTAATACTCACAATAACCCTAGGGGATAGGTACTATTATTTTCAGCCGATTTTTCAGGTGGAGAAAGTTAAGCTGAGGTTTCAAGGTGAGTGAGGGATAGAGTCAGAATTCTAAGCCTCATCATGTGGCTGTAGAGACCATGCCGTCAATTTCTATTAAATGCTCTGTTGCATTTAGAGGACCCTACATTATCAATCTGAATAAAATATATCCACTTAGGTTTGTTAAAAAGTGTCTCAATCATCGTCATCCCTACATTTACCAACCCCACTAAAGGCTGGTGTATTTAATCCACTCTGAGCCAGAAAGATTCTGTAGGCTTTGAATTAAGCTGATTAATGAGTAAGACACTGGTAGAAAACTGACATAGCGGAAAGCTAATCATTATACTTTGCTTCTCTCTTGTCAATTATTAGCTTGATCATTAGCCTGTACTTTAGTGTTATCACCAGTGACTGAGGCTATTAAAATGCATGTGATCACATTATCAATGTTATTGATCCTTTAAGTGTTCTTAAGATTTTCTAACGTAACACTGCTGAGAAATGAAGTGCTATTATTATTAATGCAAGGGAAGGCCATTTCAAACATTGGTTTGTAAAAATTTAAACAGTATCTGACAATTTTGGGGCAGGATGACTTTATTATTTCCCCTCCCTCCCCCCCCAGGAAACAACTACATTATTCAGCGCAACAGCTGTGAGGTCGAGATCAGCCGTGTGGCCAACCGCGTCCTGGACGAGCTGGTCCGGCCGTTTCAGGAAATCCAGATCGATGACAACGAGTACGCTTGTCTGAAGGCCATTGTGTTTTTTGATCCAGGTTTGTTCCCAAAGACCCATTAAAAAAATAATTCTAATGAAAATAAGACTACTTTTTAATATTGGCATATTTTGCTGTCGCACGTTGTTAAGATCCAACCTTCAGGCTGCCCTCTCTGCTCCTTCACCAGATGCCAAAGGGCTCAGTGACCCCATGAAGATCAAGAACATGCGGTTCCAGGTACAGCTGAGCCTGGAGGACTATATCAATGACCGGCAGTACGACTCCCGCGGGCGCTTTGGGGAGCTGCTCCTGCTGCTGCCCACGCTGCAGAGCATCACCTGGCAGATGATCGAGCAGATCCAGTTCGTGAAGCTCTTCGGGATGGTGAAGATCGACAACCTGCTGCAGGAGATGCTGCTGGGCGGTGAGTCTCTCTGACTCCTTAGCATCCCACCTTGTGCTCCCGAGCACCTGGGGCCCTTTCATTTTCTGTCTGTGACAGAATGAATTCAGTTTCATTTGCATTTCGAAAATCTGCAATCCTCACTGGATGGGGACAAAATACTTGAACGCATGGAAATCCCCATTCTTACTAGCCTCCACCATCTAGCTCTTCACATGGTCCCAGTAACCTCACATTTCAGGTCCTTCAAATGTGGTGACTAGAACTGTTTTTCCTATTTGTAATAGTCCTTGAAGTATCATTGTATTTTTCTACGCCTTTACTCCTTTAAAAACTCAAAGATAGCAGAATTGCAAACTAACCCCAAATATGTATGCATATATGTACACATGTACGTAATATTATATATAATATATAAAAATGAACAGTTTGCTTCTGAAATAATTAATTGACACAAGACAACGAGAAGGGGAAAAATGAGATTTCATTACTGCAGTAAATGCCAGGAATAGTTAGGAAAGTTAGGAAAGCCTTTTGATCTAGATTAAATTTCCTGATAAAATTGCTCTATTTTATTTTTAGTTTTCTGGTGCTTAATGTGTCCCTAATGATGTCTTCCTGAAATAAAAATTGTTTATGCTATTAGGGTGACCCCAAATACTATAAACCTGAGGTAAGTGATTCTTGGAACTGCCTTACCAACAGGCAGCCACCCTAATGATTCCAGGAAGCAGCATACAAGGTCCATTATTAATAGACAACATAATATGATACAGCATTCATCTAGCCAGTGTGCGGTGAAAGCTGACATTGTCCTTAATACAGCAGCGGTTCTATTAATTTATTTTTGAACTCCCAAAAAGCACTTTGTAAAAATAGCAATATTCAAGTTGTCAATCAAAACATTTGTTCCAGGGTAAACTTGCCATTTCTGATTAAACATCGCCAACGCGACCATCTTTTTATCTTCTGTAGGTGCTTCCAATGACGTCAGCCATCTCCATCATCCGGTGCATCCACATTTGTCTCAGGATCCATTAACTGGACAAACCATACTGCTCGGCCCCATGTCAACACTGGTGCATTCAGACCAGATCTGTAAGTATGTGGGTTACTTCTCAACCGTAAATTGTCCTAAACGTAATGACTTGAGGAAAAGAGGCATTGGGGGAAAGAACCTATGAGTACCCAGAAGCTGCAAGATTTGGGTACCATATTTTCCTGCGTATAAGATGACCACCTAATTTTACAGTTAAAACATAGGTTTAGGCCTATGTTCGCTGTATAAGACTACCCCCCACTTCCGAGGCAACACCAGTTCTTTTTTTAATAGACCGCCTCTCTGACTCTGGCCAATCTGAGCAGGCTTTTTACTAGAACACAGTGTTGTTTTATACGCCGGAAAATACGGTATGTTATCCTCTCCAGTCAACTGCAGGAGACTGTGACATTCAGCAAGTCACATATTCTCCAGGCATGCATTTGCTCCCTAAGATGGAGCTATAGTAGCTCAGTCTTTCTACTCCATGGTTTTGGGAGCAGAAAATAATATATGGGCAATCCCAGCTCTGCTGGTCTGCAGGTTTACAGAAATGATGACCATGCACATAAACACGAATTATCACTGGAAAATTACGGTTACTTGTGACCTTTCAAAATGTCTGTCATATCATGCCATATGTCAGTTATACCTCAGTTACAAATGAATAAAAATATTTTTCAAAAAGTTAGAACCCTTTTAACTATTATATATATTAGAAGTATATAGGGAAGTTTGAAAAATAAATATAGGGAAATTGAAAAATAGAGTAATCCCAATAATTATTTTGTGCACCGTAATGTAAAACATCATAAGCACTGAAAATGAAAGTTTTAATTCTTTGTAAAAAAATTTTAAGAAGCATAGTTTTAACAGTATTTTTGTTTCCTCTACCTCTTGCAACTTGTTAAGAGCAAGTGAGGATTTTTATGTGCCTTCATGAATGTTCCTCTTTTGAAGTCTGGATCAGCTTCTAACATTTTACCCTTTGCATTTTGTTTTTTTCTCCCCTCCTTTTATTAATATTTTTTTAAATTACAGTTTATATGTAATATTATTTTTCATAGTGTTCCAAGTGTGCAGCATAGTGGCTGGACAATCATATACTTTGCAAAGTGTCCCCCCTGATATGTTCAGTACCACCTGGCACCTACACAATTATTACAATGTTGCTCACTTTATCTCCTGGACTAGTCTTTGCAATTTCTGTGTCCTGAAATATGTAGGAGAATCCATTTATTGTGAGGTTTTTGCCAGTTTTGTTTCCTCTGGGGCGTCGTTGTCCTTTCCACCACAGCCGGTCACCTCACTTACGCTGACGGCTGACAAGGCCCCTTCCCGAAGGTCCTGGAAGCATATGTAGCGTCTCAAACAGCAGTCCTGCCCACATTCCCACGGTCAGCTATCTTCCGTAACTCCATCCATGTGCCATTTGAATTGTGATTCCAAAATTATTGTTGTTTCCTTGCTGCACTTGAATCGTGTTGTGTGGGTTTTTTTTTTTTTTTAGCCAATTCTCTTTCAAATGTCTATATTTTTGCAAAACGTCATGTGGATTTATCACTGGGAGACATGGAGGGAAGTCAAGTACACACTCTGTTGTCAGTGTGTGAATGGAATAAATTAGGTGCCAATATGAATAAAATATGGACAGGAGGAAAGACATGATGCCTTAGGTCGCTGATCACGAGACCTCTGTTTTGTAGGTGATTATTGGAATGCGTTCACAGCGAAGTTCCCGGTTATGTGGTACTCACAGTTAACTGGGAGTCACCATGCTAACAACTCTTGACCATGTTTTCTGCAGCACTGGTGCCAGGAGCTGTGCTGCTGAGATCTGTGCATATCAGAAATGTACACAGTGAGGGCTTCTTGGGCAAACACTTTGAAACTAAAATAATTATATAAGTACTAGAGACGGTTAATCTGATATCATTGCAGATTTAACACAGTTTTATTTCTACAAGCTGTCCTGGAGAAAACAATTCCTATTTGACCAAATATTAAGAATTACCACTGAATTGATAGTAATTATCCCAGATTTACCTGGGATCTATCGCCTCTGAACACTCAGCCAGCTGCCTCACCGAGTCTTAAGTTACTATGATGCCATGATCATGCACACCTATATGACCTGCTGAATTGACAGTGGCCACTCATGATCTCATTATAATGCTCTTTTACCTCAGTGTTCAAGGCAATATAGCGATTCAGTGGAACCACCCGGCTGCTACCTAGTGGCCAGGAAAAAAGAAGCCACAAAAATGTGTGTTCTCACATCTCCTGTGTAGTACACAAGCATTGGTAGACCTAGTTAATTGTGTCTGAAGCAGGAGTCCTTTGAGTCTATGTCAGAGGCAGAAATGAAATTGCTAGAAAAAAAATACAATTTTTGGAGATAGTGTGGCACATTTCACCTGCGGGTCCCAGTGCACTTGAAAGCCATTGTTTGGAGAATATCCTTGCAAAGCAGATGTTACCATTTTCAAGTAACAGGTGGTCAAGAGCCAAGAGAGGCAAGCTCAGTGTCACACCAAAATACTCGGCGTTGTGTCTCTCTAAGCTCAGTTATTCATAAACTTAGAACATTAACAACACATTAAGTATTCTAGGCATCAGATGGCAAGAAGGTTGAGCAATTGTGCTGGCGGTTGAATTCTTTACTTTTTAAAAGCCAGGTTTCTAATAGTTGGAAAGCATGCTGTTCCCTCTAATATTTTTAGGATTTCATCATCACATTTTTTCATTCCTCCCCCTTTTTCAATATAATATTTATAAGACTTGTTTAAAGGAAAGCTTTGCTTTGCTCTTCTTGTGCTCATTTAGAATAGTTCCTTTTAATCCAAACCAAAACATACACGTTAGCACAGAAAAAAATTAAATTGTGCATATTTTCTCGGTGTTTTAGAGCAGGCCTCTGAAGTTTCAGATACACCCTAAGTATCCCAAAATAAATGTTTAAAGCAATTGGTTTATTCCTATGTCAATTAAACTATTTCAAACTGTTGTTCCTAAGTAATTGCTAATCTATAGCTAATAATACCAAAGTTATAATAGTAAAAAAAACCAAGCAAAAAGAGTTTGTCCTCATATTTGTATAGAATTTTTCCCCAAAAATTTTTAAGAAACTGATTTGGAGAAAAAAAAATTATAAAGTTTCAATGCTTCAGTCTGATTATCAAATATTTTCTACACTATTGAATATAGGAAATAATAATAAGTCTGAGTACTAAAATACTTTTAACTTTTTAAAAATTATAGACTAGCTCCTAGGTTTTTTTATAATATGAAAAGAGTTTGCAGTGGGAGGAAACACTGTTCTAAACAGTGAAATAGCTAGGTTTGCTCTTTGCATTGACAGGGGAATTGACAAATAAGAGCAATTATAATAGAGTAATTTTGATGTGACAAAGCCAGTATTTTTCAGATACCTTTAACTACAACATAGATTTCAAAGCACTTGAAAAATATCTTCATTTTAAAATGTCATCTATGAAGGTTGAATTAGTGGAAGCCAAATCAAACATATTTTATTTTATGTGCACTTTTATTATAAAACTAGTGGCCTGGTGTACGAAATTCATGCAGGGGGGTGACCCTCAGCCTGGCCTGCACCCTCTCCAATTTGGGACACCCTGTGGGATGTCCAACTGCCAGGGGAACATCCTTGTGGGATCAGGCCTATACTGGCAGTCGGACATCCCTCTTGCAATCTGGGACTGCTGGCTCCTAACCACTCACTTGTTGCTTGCCCAATTGCCCCTAACCACTCTGTCTGCCAACCTGCATGCCCCTAACTGCCCCCCCTGCTGGCCTGCTTGCCCCCAGCTATCCCCCTGCTGGCCTGATCACCCCCAAATGCCCTCCCCTGCTGGCCTCATGGCCCCCAGCTGCCCTCCCCAGCCAGCCTAATGGCCCCCAACTGCCATCCCTGGCCAGAGGTCCTCCATGGCCTGGGTAGAATGCTTGCCTCATCACCACGGTGACAAAGCAAGCATTCTACCAGGCCGCTCATGCTGCCTGCTCTCAGTGGCCACTCTTCCAGGACTGTGGGACTCTGGCAGAGCTGAGAGAACTGGGCACCACCATCTTGTGGCTATGGGTGCTTCCATGTTTGTGGCAGAGTGATGGTCAATTTGCATATTCCCTCTTTATTAGATAGGATTATAACACTTGAGATCTAAGATTTGAAAACAAAACAAAACACTAGCACTCTATTAATTCTTTTCATTAACTTTTCTGCTAGGTGTTTAGGAGAATCAGATGCTCACAAATGCTAAAAGGACTCTTTAAGGTTTTCAAGAAAGATTTGGTCCAATATAAATCTATTTGGTGAGGTAGAATAAGGGAGCACCTTCGGTGGTATGTCAGTGAGCTGATAATCTATAATAATAAAAGGGTAATATGCTAATTAGACTGGACATCATTCCAGACATCCTTCCTGACAAAGCCGGGGCCAGAGGGAAGCCAGCCTGGGTCTAGGGTGCCTGAGGGAAGCCGGTGCAGGCAGCTGGGGAAAGGAAGGCCTACTCTTGTACCAATTTTCGTGTATCAGGCCTGCAGTGTTATAGAAACCACTACTTTATGTGTGGTCTTTATGTGTATTGGTGTCATGCAGGACTTAATGGGATGATGGGTCAGGGTGATTGTTGCCATCACATATAATTCTCTGATTCTTTTTTTTAGCAACTCCTGAAACCCCACTCCCCTCCCCACCACAAGGCTCTGGACAAGAACAATACAAAATAGCCGCAAACCAAGCTTCAGTCATTTCACACCAGCCTCTCTCCAAACAAAAGCCATTGTAAGGAGACGTTTACTTCTGAACAGCACTGCTTCAATGTGAAACATTGCCAGTCTTGAAAATCTCAGGATAGTGCTTTTGGCAAACTCTTAGCCAAGGCTTCTTCATGGTGCTGTTGTAAGATGGTAACATATTCTCTTGTTTTTATACTCATTTTGTTTGTTTTTGCTATTGTCTGAAACCTTCAGTTGCAACCATTGTATATCTGAGTTTCCATACATTTATACCCTATGGTTTTCCCAGCTCCCCTAGCTCCAGGCCTTAAACCATTGAATCTCATGTACCACTTCTATTTGTTGCCTCCATATTAATTTAAATCTGTAAATAATTGCTTTAGGGTGATGTTATGCAAAACTAAGTGTTCTTTTTTTTTTGACTGAGAATATTATTATATCAGAAATCCCAGATGAATATACAATGAACCAAGTTTTTAATAAATTTTAAAATTGCAAATTAGAAAACAGTAAAGCAGTTACTGTAAAATAGGGCACAGTTCTTTGAAGAACAATTCCTCATGGACACCCTGTGGCTTAAGAAGTGTCTTTGGTCCACAGTTAAATATTCCTGTTTTCAGTTTAGAAAAATATAAATAGCCATTCCAAGGATGACTGTGTATTCTTTCAGAGCTGACTGCATTTGAAGACGTATGTTAAGATAAAAGGTGTTAGTTTGAGCAGAGAGGTTACAGGTTAAACTGTGAAAAAGAAATCCCTAAAATAGTGGCTCCACCCAGAGAGACATTTATTTCTCCATCCTAAAAAAATACCTGGAAGTTGTCATCCATGGACTAGGACTTGGCACATGCCCACACCCAATTCCCAGGGAGACTGGGAGAGGAGGAAGGAAGCCTTGTACCAACCAACACTACAACTCGGGGAGACTAATCCCGGGAGACAAATTAACCACCCACATACCACACACACGTGTGGCCTCAGCCCATCCTCACAACAACCCTGTAAAAGAGGTTTCGTTATCTTTCCATTACAAAGAAACCTTTAGCCTAGGGTTCAAATAATGTGAACAACATTCATAAACCTGGAGAGTAGGAGAGCCTCATTTAAGCCAGGGTCTGGTTGACTTTCATGAGAATAAATATATCTTCGGTGTGGGATGAAAAATGTGAGCTTCTTGCTATGGTTTTCAAATATATGACATTGACTATTGATGGAATGCTATCAGTCATGTTACCTACCACACATGTTTACATGCCAGCTGTGAGTGCCACATTTTGGCAGCTTGGTAAGAAACCACTTTTATACTTTAATAAAAGTCTTACCCCTAAAATAATATTTTAAATAAATTAAAGAAAATAAAAGCTACACCAGATAGGTTATCACAAAAATAAGAGCAAAATGACGAAGTTATCAGGTTTGCAACAATCCAGCAACCCAGGGATATACTGAATGCCTAACTCTGGACCAGGCGTCTTCAAACTTTTTAAAGTGGGGGCCAGATCACGGTCCCTCAGAGAGCTGGAGGGCCGGACTAAATAAACTACTAATTCTTACTGTAACACCTCGGCTGCGCTCACTGCTCAAAAAACGTGGCGGGCCGGATCAGACTCCTCTGCGGGCCGCATGTGGCCCGCGGGCCGTAGTTTGAAGACGCCTGCTCTGGACTGAGGAGCACAGTTCACTGGATACTGAACCATTTGATATGATCTAAAGTGGAGCTTCTTAAGAAAACAATTAAAGATGGGTTGTCTGTGAACCGATAACCTCTCTCTCTCTCTCCCCAGCCCCCTTTCTCTGTCTGAAGCAAGCAATAAATATTTGAATAATTATCGATGATACAAAGAAGTATGCCAAGCTGAAAGAGACTGATTAAATTATATTTTCAGGACTTTTTAAAGTTTCTAAGATTATGATCATATAACCCCCAGTTACCCTACAAATAAAAAGGTTCAGTAAATGTTAACTAACCCATTGGCTCTTGAAGTGAAATTGAACTCTTAAAATAGTAGAAAATGATTCCTTAGATGCTATCTTTGGTTAAATAGAATCAATAAATTTTTCAAGAGCTGGTACATTCATGCCACTGGGAAATCTTTGAGAGAGAGGGAGAGAGAGAGAGAGAGAGAGAGAGAGAGAGAGAGAGAGAGAGAGAGAGAGAGAGAGAGAAGAGGGAAGTTGTCTTACATTTTTTGAATATTTACTTTGGTATCTCTATGTGATGAATAAGAATGTTTTTGATTGTTATAAATACAGCTATTATTTGTAGATTTCTGCTTTTTTGTGTTGCTCTCTTAGAAGATATTATAAACTTTAAAATATAAAACAAAGTCATATTAGTAAATCCTATAACTTATCTGCCTATATTTACTAAACAGTTATTTTTTACAAATTATTGCCAACAATTTTATTTTAATAACTGTGGTCAGGGACTTTGTAATATATTTTTGTATATTTAACTACCAACAGTGCTGGATGAGAGGAACTGATATTTTCAAAATATTGATAAAGTTATTCCTTTTATGTAGCACAATACTTTTTCATGTAATAAGATGGAATAATTTATCATGAAATAATGATTCATTTTATAAATGTAAAATTATTTTTATAAATTTTATTGTTGAAAATCAAAAATTACTAGATTTTTTAAAGTGTTAAATTATAGTAAGATTAAGATATTTCAAAACTGTGATACCATGTTTCACTGAACTTTCTAAATAAAAAATGAGATAAAAAAATGAAATGGGGTACCTCATTATTGTTCAAAAATGATTTTATAATTGTAGAGATAATGCTAATATCCTCCATATGGTCATCTAGTTAAATTTGCATAGAGTTCCAGAATACTGGTGTTTAGATGTCAGAGCAAAATTAATTAGCACATTTCCAAATCATCATAGAATTAGACACTGATTAAAGCGACGATCCTCACATTTGTGTGTTAATTATGTAGTATTGCTTGCTTTATAAGTTTTGTCATAGTAATGGGATGTATGACCCCGGCTAGTTTCAACATTGTATAGGTACACTTGGCACCTATATTTTTAAACTCAATGTTTTCACATCTGTTATTCTGTAGTTATAGTTAAAGCTTCTTTGCAAATGTTCTTGTATTATGAGGACCTGTAGTTTTTGTAAAAGTCTACTAATTTTTATTTTAGTTTTGCTTTTATCAGGGGAAAAGAGTACACCATATTTAAAACACAATTATGCTTGAATTTATAGTGCAGTCCTCCACCCCACCATTCCCTTCTTCCCTACCTCTGCTCTTCAGTAGCAACACTCAAATGTTGCAGCTGCTCTATTTATTTTTATTTTTTAAAAGCTGACCTTTGTTTTTGAGAGTATTACAGATGCCCTCCCCTTTTTTCCCCCATTGACCACCTCCATCCTTCACCACCCCTCCCAGGCCTTCACCACAGTATTGTCTGTGCCCATGGGCTATGCATATATGCATATAAATTCCCGGTTAATCTCTCCCCTCTCCCCCAATTTCCCTCTGAGATTCATCAGTCTGTAATATGCTTCCATGTCTCTGGATCTGTTTTGTTCATTTATTTTGTTCATTAGATTCCACATATGAGTGAGATCATGGGATACTTATCTTTCTCTGGAGGCTTATTTAGCTCAACATGGAGGGACGTGGAGAGTATTATGCTATGCAGCTGCTCATATTTTTTCTCTACAGTTTGAACGTAGAGAAAATGTTTATATCACATTTTGCCAGTATTGCTTTTAGTTTTAAAGCTCTTATGTATACACTCAACTCCCATGACAGCCTCCCAATTTCTTAATAAACCAATATTTTACTGACTTAGAAGTTGTTGTTTAAATACTTGCAAAGAGCTCGGTGATTGGAGGCTCAGGAGCCCAGGATGCCATCAGGCGAGCCACTGAGACTGCAGAGGAGGAGACTCTAGATTAGATTCTAGAAGAATGAGGTAAGTATTTGCTATGGCCTCAAGTCCAGCTTTCTTGGCGCACCATCCAATCTGTCCTGCTTACCTTCCTCTTATCGTTGTTCCCAAAAAGCAGTTCACCAGAATCATGAAGAAGCTGCTCCCTCCATTTAGAGGAAGATATGCAGCTGAGTGGGAGGCACAAGGCTTACATTGGAGTCGACACTCCAGATTGAAGGACTTACCCATTGCTGGAGTGCAGCTGGCTAAGAGCTCTCAGCTAGCAGACATCTCTGCGAATCTCCTTCGTTTGAAAGCCACCTCATCCATCGCCAGGCCCCTTCCTGGATGCAGCTTACATCCAAGGAGCACAGATGCTTGGCCATCTTTCCTCATCTCAGGACAACTGGGAAGAGCTATCCCATTTTCAGTGCTCACGATGAGATTGGCTGCAGTCTGTACTGAGTTTGCTTCACAGCTTAACTCCGTTCTCTACCGAGGTTTGCCTCCATGCTCTCATTTGTGTGTAGATCCTTAGAGCCTTCCCGAATAAATGTCCTACATGATAATCTTGGAGTCTGATTCCTAGGGATCTCAACCTGAAACAACATGTAAACTTCATTTATATTTTTGTATTACGGTATGCAATTGTAAAATGAAATTAACCAACCATAAGACTATAATATCAGTAAAAATAAAGTTTATAAAAATCAGGTTTATGAAATATCCTATATAATAAAAGCCTAATATGTTAAGTGTCCGACCATCTGTTCAATGTTTGGCCAGTCACTATGACCTGCAATGACCACCAGAGGGCAGATGTTTCAACTGGTAGGTTAGCTTGCTGCTGGGGTCTGGGCCAATCAGGACTGGGCAAGATGGGCCAGACACACCCTGAAGACCTCCCATGGTCCCTCCCTGGCCATGATCATGCAATGTTTACATTGAAATACTGAAGATATGAAACATTTATGAGAGTTTAATCTATTTGCAGAGAAATTAAGGCATGGAAGACTGATAGGTTAGGAAAGAAAGGCATTAAATGTGTTGATGGAGTTAAATTACAGCTGTTTGGAAATATGTGAGTAAGTAAAAACAAAAACAAAAAACAAAAAACTGGCTAGATCTGGTTTTTAGTTAGAAAGTGTTATTGTGGTTAAGGATTCTGTAATGTCAGAGACCAGATGACAAATTTCTAGCTTCCCGCTTTCCACAGACTATGTTGGTGGTCATTTTCTTTTCTTCGGCCTCCTAGTGCGCCTACTAGAGTTAAGATATCACCTTCCCCTTTCCATGGACACTTTTTCAACCTTCTCGGGCAAAATTAAGGACTTCCTCATGTGTCTCTGTTGATTGTATGTGCTCCATTTATAGAATTTATTTCAATACTTTTTATTATTGTTTATTGTCAATTAGAATGAATCACCAAAGAGTAGGTACCACATTGGGTACATTTTTAATTCCCAAGAGTCAATGGAATTCCCAGCAATTAATAGGTGATCAGTAGTGATTTCTCAACGAGATAAGAGATTAGTCACAACTATGAATTATTATTTTTTATTATAAAGCTCAAGAAGGAAATGTGCTAAAGATTAAAATAATATACTTATTTGATGGATTATATTTAGATAAAACAGTAACTATTTGAATAAGACAGTTTATCATATTTTTAAAATAAAAATTGTAAAAGAAAACTATTTTTAGTAAGGAAAACATTACCATTTGTCCCAATCTCTATTATTAACTTTTTTTTCATAGATGTTTTTAAAACATACTTTATCAACTTATTTTTCATATTTTAAAGTACAAACTCTGTTTAAAAATATACTCTGCAGCACAAAATGTATTATATTTTTATATGTGAAAAGTGACATCAAAACAAAGGATTTTATCAGAATGTAATTCACTCAAGTCACTCTCATTGGAATCAGGTGCTTATAATGGGCTCCTGGGCTTAGTAAACACTAAAAAAACTAGCAGCTATTATTAATGGTATAAACAATGAGGCCTGAGAGAACAGATTAAAAAAAAAGTCAATGATTACTGCTTTGTCTGGAAAACTCAGCTGGTTGGGGCATTGTCTTGATATACCATGATTGCAGGTTT